AGTCCTTGTGTAAGTTATACGTATAGCTATACTATAAGTTACTTGTGTATTAGCTACTGTAGAAATGATAATAATGTATAAGAACAAGTGCATTAATATAAACCTGTGATTTGCAGAGCCACTGCTGAAATTAATAAACAACTTCTGGCTGATCAGAATCCAGAATTTAACAGAAACCACACTATATTGGAGTTTATTTGTTTGTTGCTAGCTAATTTGGTATGGTGAGGATTACAAAATGCATACCTGTTAAGTCTTATGGTTTACAGTTGTGGTATCACGGCTGCGAAAATTCATGATTGCCTTTTTTTTTAAAACACTCAAAGCATTTCCCCTCCGCTTTCGGCTGCTCTTGTCTGGGGTCGCCAGTCTGCATATTTAAATTCTTACACCAGATGATGCAACTCTCCCTATTTTCCAGGCTTGGGACCAGTAGTGAGAGTGCACTGGCTCGTGCAGCCCTCCAGTGGCTGGGGTTTGTTCCCTGACCAGGAATCAAACCCAGGCTACAGTGGTGAGAGTACCGCATGCTAGCCACTAGTCCATCAGGGAACCTTTTTTACACTCAAAGCATACCAAACAAAAAATTTGTTTTACAAAGTATTGGTGCATTGCAGAATGTCATTACAGCAATACTGGGCTCACTGACCTACAATATAGAGCCAAAGGTATGTGGAAACCTGACCATCACACCTCATATGTGTTTGTATGCTGTAGCATTAAGATTTCCATTCATTGAAACTAAGGGGCTGAGCCCAAAAAAAGGTCCATTAGACATGGTTTGCCAAGTTTGGTGTGGAAGAACTCGAGTGAGCTGCAGAGAGCCCTGACCTCAATCCCACTGAACACCTTTGGGATGAACTGGAACACCGACTGTGCGTCACACCTTCTCGCCCGACATAAGTGCTCGACCTCACTAATGCTCTTGTGGCTGAATGGGCACAAAGTTCCACAGCTACGCTCCAAAATCTAGTTGAAAGCCTTCCCAGAAGAGTGGAAGTTATTATAAGACCAAGGGGGGACTAAATCTGGAATGGGATGTTCATAAAGCACATGTGGGTGAGATTGTCGGTTGTTGTTTGCACGGTTGGGTTCTGCGTCACCTGTTTCCTGCTTCACTCAGCTACTCTGTGAACTGGAAACCTTAACATTTCTCTGTGATTGTGGTTTTACTAACAATGTGCACGTGTACACTTGTGTGCTGACAGCAGGTGTGCACTTTGCTTATCAGTTTCCGGGAAATGGCTCAATGCAATCTCAGACTCTTTTTCATGCTTATTGTGCATAGTATTTTGTTTAAATTGCAGTGGTTTAAGCAATGAACAAATGTCTCAGGTGTGAAACGCACAAACGAAGAAAGAGTTCAGTGAGAACAGTATTTTGTGTGTAGGTTGCAAGACTACTCATTTTTACTAGTTGACCAGTAATTCGAAAACGTATTTGACTAGTCAGGTTTTTGATAGTTGAAGCAATATATCAAGACATAAGACATTTCTATTTTGGCTGTTTCATTGGTGCAGCAAAACCAAAACCGCACTTCAGCTAACAGCCATATACAGGCTACAGATTAAATTTCCAGTTTCAGTGCTTTTTTAGGCTACACTGTTAACGATGAAAGTACTAAATAAATAAATTAATTAATCGGTGCAATAAATGTGCAAAATAATAAATCTGTGTGTCACTATTTAAGGACGGTAACGTGTATGTTAATGTGTAAATCACAGTCATAGAAACGGCTGAGGAAAATTTAACTCAGACCTGGGTGGTCCAATAATAGGCATCTTTGTCCAGTCAATGATCTTTTCATATACACTTTTATCAAAATGAAATATTGGCATCAAAATGGCAAACACAGTGCTTACAACTCTGTGTTTCTAAAGATGCTTAATATGCACCACATCCATCCCAGACTGATAGCCTTTAAGCTTTCAAGTAAAGTATGATCTTTAATAAGTATATGGCTAGTATACCAATGCCATCTTTAAAGTATTCTTCAGAATTAACTCAAAGTACGATAACCTTGCTTGTCCCAATTTAATCTGAAGCAATTCTAAAACTAGTACACTATGATATGTAAGGATTAGAACACTTTGGGCGTGCTGTTAGAGGAAAAAGAATCAATGAAGGGTTAGAGTGATGTGTTCTGACATGAAACAAGCACAGTGTATGTTATTCTCTTATAATACAAAGAAATTCCCAAGGCTAACCATTTTTTAGGTAGTTAGGAAAGACACAATATGTTTCATCTGTTTATAGTTACATTTCATCTTGTGGAAGATCTGCAGGCAAGAGCTCTGGCACAAACACTTGCTCGAAAATCCAGACTGGCAATGGTGCCATTTTACATGATGTCACCTCACAGTATTTTCTGTTTTATGAAAATACAGAACACAACAGCATTTGCATACTATTTACATACAGTATTTGTATTTCAAAAGCAATTTTTAAACTGATCTATTAAAAATACTGTTCTGAATCACAGTGTGCAATAACAATGCAAAAACAATTGCGAAGAACAGATATTCAGTGGGTGATATACAGTATGTCGAGGTCAGAGACTGAGGTTAACCAAGTGCACCAAAATGAAATGTCCACTGTGGTAACATTATGGTGTGACCATGCAGTTCATTAGGATCATTATTCTGCCATGCTTTTAACGGCGGTGTGCATTTTGGAGAAAGATAAAGAAATGCACTGCTAGATGCTTTGACATTATTCCCAGTTACTGCAAATGTTAACAATGAGCCAAGACATGTACGATTTGCTTCCTTGCTGATGTGGTTTCTGACACTGTATGACACACTGGACCTTCTGCTCCTCCTCGCTGCTTGACCCATCTTGATGCCCTACATCTGGTTGGAGTTCTCATCGGATGAGTTCGCTCGCTGCTGCTGGGGGTGGCCCCATATGGACGGCCTGAAGAACCGTTTGGTTTGCTGGGGAAGGTTCCACCTGGGGGCTGTGGAGATGGTTTGGGGATCACATATGGGGAGCTGTACTGTAATAGCTTGGGACTGCGATTGCTGTAGTGGCTTTGGGGCTGCGGTTGCCACGAGCAGCTTCGTACTCAGGACTCCATCAGTGGACAGTGGATAGATTTTAACCAACCGGACTTCTTGCGGAAACTATGATGAATTTAATGGTTGCACAATTGCACTACTTGTCCTTATAGCGCTCAATAATAGAAGGGATTTATTTATAATCGCACTATCCGTTGCACCCAGATGAGGATGGGTTCCCTTTTGAGCCTGGTTCCTCTCAAGGTTTCTTCCTCATATCATCTCAGGGAGTTTTTCCTTGCCACCGTCGCCACCGTCGCCACTGGCTTGCTCATTAGGGATAAATTCACAGTGATAAATTCAAGTATTTACAATATATTTTTTGTGAATCCATTTATTTCTGTAAAGCTGCTTTGTGACAATGTCCATTGTTAAAAGCGCTATACAAATAAAATTGAATTGAATTGAATTGAATCTATAAACATGGACAAAGGGATATTGCAAAGCTATAAGGCTATTATAAGCTAAAAACAGCCATAATTCCATTTATTTCTGAGCACACTGATTGGTAGAAACAGCATTAGACTGAAGTAGGTGGAGGGGCCTAAAGTTTACAGATGGAATTGTACATTGGAAGTGATTCAGATTAGTAATGGGAATTCCAGCTTTTTTCAGTGAGTCAGCTTGTTCAGCTCGGCTCACCATATACAGCTGACCCTTTTGCCTCCTGAATGGCTTATTGCCAATTTTTTAACCAGACATTTTGCAACATTTTGACATTTACCAAAAAGGGTTAAATGGCTCATATATGGGATTTGGCTCTCAAAGAGCTGGTTCAAAGAGCGGACTCATTTGCAAATGACACATCACTAATTCAGATGAGAATATAGTACAAAACTTATTTGTATTTCTAACAGAATCATTCTGTTAGAGCCAAGCAATCACTGGGTCCAAAATTGCTCCCTCACTCACTGCTTTCTATATAGACCGTCCTATATAGAGCACTGTGTAGAGAACACAAGTAACACCAGACAGAATTCAGACAACACCTACTAGTGAGTGCTCCAGAAATGCATCATTAGATAAACAATTCAAAAGTTAGAAATTACCTTGAATTCGGACAACACTACAAAGTGGCTGAAGCCCAAATAGTGCACTATTTATATACAGTGAATAGGGAGTGAATTCAGACACAGTAAATGTCTTTTGAGGAGAGTGTGTGGTGGTTAAGCAGGTTGCAGAACCGTAAACTGGTACCTAAAAGCTTCCTTTCCACAAACATGACTACTAAAAAAAACCCCACTAATCTTAAAGGTAAGGTTAGATTTAGATTTAGAATTAAAATTTACAATTAGGTTAATAACTATAACCATAGGAAAGGACTTTAATAGTGCTCCTCCAGTCTCAGTTCTCAGTGGGTTCAGAGATCTAATTTCCCTGATCTTCTTGTAATCCTTACAGTTAGGACATGGACACATTTATACAGCATCTTCACAAGTACTGCAGCTCTGCTTATCGTTGGCCTCCAGGGCTCTGGTGCTCTTTAACTCAGGATCAAGTGCATAATGGTGGCTTAAAAGCCACACAGAAGCCCATTTTCAGAGCCCATTTGTATCATGTGAAGCTGTGTTAGGTTTGAGATGAACCCTTTAACAATCTCAACAATAAAATAAAACATGGAAAGTGATTTTTTTGCAGTGCTTAAATGTTTTTTTTTTTTTTAATTATTATGGGTCACTTATAAACCATGAAGCGTGAAGTCTGTAGCTTTATCTCTGACAAAGTGCTGATTCTAGACGCTCCTTCCAAAATCTACACCAAAGCAGCAATTATAATTTGTTTTTAAATTTTCGTTAAAATGCTACTTTAAAAATCCCTTCAGTAAATTTTGTAAGAATCCACCATGTGTGTGCATATGATCCTGTGAATGAGCTGTTACTATAGAAATGATAACATATTAGAATGACCGCATTAATATAAACCTGTGAGTTGCCTTGCAGCCAGCACTACTGTCAAAGCTGCTGTTATAGATTATTGATCAATATTGATTAAATGTTGCAGTAGTGGCTCAGTTGTAAAGACTCTGCATTACTGATCAGAAAGTTGGTTGGCTCAAGCCCCAACACTACCAAGCTGCCACTGTTGGGCCTCTGAGCAAGGCCCTTAACCCTCTCTGCTCCAGGAGTGATGTATCATAGCTAGCCCTGCGCTCTGACCACAACTTCCTAACAAGCTGGGATATGCCAAGAAAGGAATTTCACCGTATTATAATGTATATGTGACAAACAAAACCTTTCTTCTTCTTCTGTCAACTTATTCATGGTTTGATTCCGAGAGCCTTTGTGCTAACTGTGAGAGAATGAAGCTTGCATGTTAACAACAACAACAACAACAACAACAACAACAACAGAAAAAAAAAATAATTCAACAATACACAGTCAAAATGGAAATGCTGCACATGACTGCAGTGCAAGCAGAGTCTCGTGTTTCAATTGAATTTTTTTGAAGGTATTTGTAGAGCATCACTGTCTGCTGAAACCTCTCGGGTTCTGC